GGGCTGCACTTTACTGTTTATCAAAATTATCTAATGAAGTAATTGAAAATAATATTTTATCAAATCCTTGCTTATCTAGTAAAGAATCTGTAATAGATCTCTATAATAAAATTCAGAGAGAATTCAAATAAACATAATAAATTGATTTGAGAAATTTTCTTTTATTAAAATAAACAAACCCCTATTTTTTCGTTATGGAAACACGAACTATAAGAATTCCTAAAGATTTGTCTACTGAGGATTTAAGATATTATACAGCCATGCCAATTAATTTTGAGAACAAGCTTGACAAAGAAGTTTGGAAAATTTATATGGAAAGCATCAATAGAATTTGTAAGAAGTATGAAACTCCTTCTTTTTGGAATATTTTTAGATACATTCCACCTGTTTTACTTTTTTATGAACCATCTGGATTTGAAAATGAGATTGTAAAGTGTATTGAAATAATTAATTTAGAGCTCAAGTCTAAAGGAATTAAAATACTTGATTTAAGAAAAACTGGATATATGGAGATGGTGATTGAAATTTCTAATTAATTCAATTTTACTAAATAATTTATTAGTCCTTTCTTTTTAATAAAGCTACGAAAAATCCAATTGTATCATTATTTTTATCTGATCTTATGACATAATCAGAAAAAGTAAATTTTTTGTTGCCTCTTTGTTTCCAAAAACTATCTATTTTTTCTAATTCATAATTTTCAAACTTACTCAGTGCTTCTTGAATTACCATTTCACCTTCTTCCGGGTGAATTGAGCACGTTGAATAAACAACTTTTTTGCAATTAAATTTAAGTGCGTGATTCAACAACATTGATTGTAAATTTTTTAAAGATTCTATTCTTTTTTTATTCTTTTTATAATCATCATGAATACCAGAACCAGAACATGAAGGATCTAGTAAAATGTAATCAGCTTTAATACTAGAAGGTTCGATTTTTAAAAAATCTTTGTGAATTGTTTCAACATTTTTAGCACCAAACTCTTTAATCATACTTTTCAGCGTTTTATATCTATTTAAATTACGCTCAACTGCAATTATCTTACCAGTATTATTCATAATTGCACATAGATGGGTGGTTTTATTTCCAGGGGATGCCGTAGCATCTATGACTGTTGAATTTTCTTTTGGGTTTAATATAAAAGCTGGCAAACAACTTGATAAATTCTGTATTTTTACAACATCTACGTGTTTTTTTAAAATTAAATTATTTGTTCTATTTGAAACATTTTTGATTTTATAAACATTTGGTACAACTGTAGATTCTAATCCAAGATCCTCTATTTCTTTATATTCGGCTTTGAGTGTATTTAATCTAACATAAATAGCTTGTTTTTGGTTTGATTTCATAAGATATGGGCAAAAAAATTGTTTCAGTTAACTATACAAAATGGAATTAGATGAACAAAATAATTTTATTAAAAAAGCCCGACTTTTAAAGACTGAAATAAGTAATATAACAAGTAAAATAGACAACCAGGATGTAATTCTTGAATCGATTAAAGGTTCTACTGAAAATGCCTATAAGAATGTAAATGAAAATTATTTTAATTTTAATTATATTATGACACGTCTTGAGAATGATTATAGAACCACCCTTATAGGAATACTTGGACTCATAATAATATTTATGTGGTTATTACTTAAGCTTTAATAAAGTTATTTAGTTTTTAAGTTGTTTTAACATAAGGCTCTGTAGTATATTGGTAGTATTTCAGACTGAAGATCTGACGGGCCGGGTTCGAATCTCGGCGGAGCCATCTTTTTAAAAAATAACAATTTTTTTATTGTTTAAAAAAACTAATTTACTTTAGACTTCTCTCTGTTTATAATTGATTTTTATACTCTTCTGATTTTTTTATATAAATAAAATATTTTCTTATTAAACTTATTTATTTTTCCTTTAGAATATTATAATAGTTTATTAAAATAACAAAAGGTATTTTCATGTATAAAAAGAATGCAACAGAAAATGCAAAATAAAAAATAATTTATAACTTTAAATTTATATTTAAAATGATAGAAACATTTTATTTGTGTTCGCTGAAACCAATTCTTGCTCCAGCTGTTGTTTAACTCTATACCAACTATTTTAATCCTTAGCATTTGGACCTTCTTCTGTTACTAGGTCCTTTTAATCAATACTGTCTGTGTTTAATAAATCTTTACTAATCATTTTATTGATAATTGGGGTTTAATTAAAAATCTTTTTAATTATGATTTTTGATAGATTTGACATTTGATTTACAATTTTTAAATTCATTCCACTAAGACAAAGTGTATTGAGTTCTGGTAACATACTTATTTATTAATCATTATAACTTTGATAATTGAAGATAATAACTTGTTCATCACAGTCTTCAAAACAATTATTATTTTTCATGGGTAAATTTTATTTAAATTCTTTTAATAGAAACTATCAAATATGATTTGACAGTTTATGACGTCATCCGACAACAGAAGAGATTTTCTTTTATAAAAAAATTTAACAAATCATTTAATATTTATATA